CCGGGCTGGGGATTCGAACCCGCCACCTTAGGTGTATGTGGCTGGCGCCTTAGCCAGTTGAGCTATAGGCACCGAGCCTCTTTAGAAGTTTATTTATAAATTTATTATAAGTTATTTATTTTTACTGTCATGGCTTTATAATATATAGTATATGTAATATATTATACAATTATTTGTTTTCTGGGATGCTTACATTAACAGAAATCCACGAGATGGATTTTCTCAGTGAAGAGGGCTTGATTTACAAAACCGGATTCTGGAATTTACTGACAGTCATTCCAGCAAAAAAGGTTTTATGTGATAGCTATCTTGAAGAAGAAGGCATTCATCAGGGAAGCCGAGGGCATGCTGGATAAATTCTCTCCTTCCACCAAAGGGATTCAACTGTCTTTCTTAAATCTGAGATACGAGTCAGAAGCAAATCAAAATGGGGAAAAAATAATTTTGACGCACAGAATTCGTCAGAGTATCTAAACAATTAAAATTTTACTTTACTTCAGAATAAGTTTACAGTTGAAAAATGATATTTACTAAAGCCACAACATCATTCATACAGACAAAACTTTTATAGCAAAACCTTGGTACATAAGCATTAATAATCTGAATACTATATATGGATATAGAAGATATTTAAAAAACGGAAATGATGTATTCCAAAGGCTGTAATAGGCACAATATATATGCTTGTATTGGGTCCGCAAGCATTAGACTATCATTCGTTAAGTGTGATCCAAGAAGTTGCAGACTTTTCAGCACTATGTACTGAAAAGATGTAAAGGGATATCATAGTTATTCTGATGTTGAAAAAGCATGTACTGTCAAGACTACAGAATAGGAGCAGCAAGCCAAACCAACAGACAATTCCTTAGGTTTTAGAAGGAGTTATACACCTATGGCTTTTTCATGTTTATTTTGAGACTGGTTAGCAAGTCTGGCAGGTGGAAAAGAAGAAATTAGTCTACAATAAAGCATTAAAGACATAATCTACAAGGCATCTGATATTTAACAGGTTTAAAGTTGGAAAAAAAAATTGAGCTTGATCTTAGAAGAAAATTGCGAGGTACCCATGTATTATATAGCAACCCCCCCTGCTTCTTCCCATTAACCTTGTGGGGCAAGAATCTCTTACCCAGAAAAGTAAGGGTTTTCAAATGACAAGATGGGAAAATACTTAAGATGAACAATTAGAATCCGTTTTTAGCAACTCTAAAGAATATAGCTTTTCCAAGGACCCAGAAACCGAGTTTGGTCCTTAACATGGAATTTTCTTATGTTTTTTAAAAGTGTGAGTTGAAATATGTATTCATGCTGACAGTGTATCCACACCAGTGAAGGTGAACATGTGGTAAAAATAAGAAAAAATATTGTACATATTTCAGGGCACACTACTACTACATCATATTGAAATTATTCTAGAAGATAAAAATGTACATCTTAGATTCTCAAAGGTTTTATTTTTCAACTAGCAATTAAACATAAGTGTCAAAGCGAATCATGCAGTATTTTTACCTATCAGTACTGTGTTCATGATATGAGAGTAACAGGATTCTTTTTTCCCCTTTAAATCTGTAAAACTCCAAAGCCATCATGTGGAACTAAAATCACACACAAAGGCAAATCCTGAAGACACGTTAAATGCTTCAAATGCCCACAAAAGCATGCCAGAAACGAGGGCGCTCCTGTGGCACAGAACTGCTGGAGGCCAAAACTAAAGGAAGCAGTAGGTGCTACTGCAACTTCTAGCTCTTAAATGCTGCTTTTTTGTTTGTTTGATAGAAGGGATTCAGGTGAGGTGGCAGGATCTCTCGGGAGTTAGGCCATAATTTCTGCAGGTTCAGTGACCAACTTGGATCCATCCCATGCTGTCTTGAACTGTTCAGGAACGGGAAATTCTCTCTGGAAAAAGGCAAGAACAAAGTTATTTAGACTAAGGCTTTCCTTTTGCAATCAGGCGGGAGGCTGATTTGTGCCACATGGTGGGCAAGGAAATTCAATCGAACTCAAAGTCGCATCAGGGAGAGGTCTTCATCACGTGAAGACTCAAATCTGTCATGTGTCAGGTCTGTGACTGCATTCCGGTGTCATCACTAAAGCCAGCATTCACTAAGAACCAGGCATTCTTCTAGTGCGGGAGATAGATGAACTCAGCCCATCTCACGCAACAACCCTATGAGCTTGGTGTCGCTGAGATGCCAACTATGGGAAACAGAGGCCTGACAGGTCAGGCAGCTGGCCCACTGGTAAGCACCGCAGCCGGAATTCAAAGCTTGGCAGTCTCTCTTACTACTCTCCGCCGGACTTTTACATGCACATGAATCAACCATCGATCTTCCTAAAATGCAGATTCAGTAGGTCTGAGGAACGGAATGAGAATCTGCATTCCTACATGCTCCCAGGTGATGCCACGACTCCACCAGTCCCTGCAACTAGAGTAGAAAGGCTTTACCCTAAAGTTATCCCTCCACTCTGACAAATTATAAAAACAGGCTTAGGGTGGAATATACATTGGTTACCCCTTCACCATGTCACCCTACTCTTCCCATGGGAAAACATACACGTGCACGAATTAAAACAGAGAGTAAAGAACCAAGACAAAAGTGGTCCTAACTCTCTCCTTTCCCAGACATTGGCTCTCCAGTTATTTCAGAAGAGGATCACAGAGGAGCCTGGGCTTGGCTTCCAGAGCCTCTGTGGGCGTACTGGCCATGTGGTGCTTGCTGAGCTCCATGCTGCTGACGACCTGAGGACGTCTCTGCTCAGGAGATGTCGTATTTCAGTGCAACACACACAGGAAGTATGTTCCTAGATGCAGCCCCCAGCTGTTTATTTGGAAAGAAGCGATCTCTTCATTTTAAAGAGAAGGCTCTTGCTATAACAAGTGGCAAATTCTCCTTGAGTGAAAAATCTTCAAAGAAAGCTACAGTCTCAGTAACCTCATGTGCATGTGTCCGTGTAGCCAGTATCCCTTCTGGGGCTCTTCTTGATGAGAAAGTGAGGATTAGTGTTTGTTCTTAAGCAACAGGCCAAGTAGAGAGTGCTCCAGAGTGCAGGCACCTCTGTGACAGTAACTGCACGACAGCTGCCCCAAATCTGCTCTTGGCAGAGAGGTGACAGCAATGTGATGATGGGTCTTCGCTGGAAGGCTGATCTCTTTCAGGATGAAGCATCCCCACCATCCATTCCCACACCACAATGCCCATGGCCAGTCCTCTGGACTGTTCTCTGCCTCCTTCAACTGAAAACACACAAAGAGGGCCAAGGACTGATATCTATAAAGGCGAGGCCTTGCTTTTTCAGCATAAAAGCTCAGGTTTTGATCTATGCTTTAGGCCATTGGATCTCAATGTTGGCTGCATGCTGGAATCACCCTGGGAGCTTTAGCCACTACAGATGCCTGGGTCCCATGTCCAGGGTCTGGTTTCATCAGTCCAGAGCACCCATCCAAGCCCCGTGCGCTCCTCAGCAGACCCACTGCCATGCAGCGGAGCCTTCTGCTTCAACAGCTGCCATGGCTGGGCTCACTCCAGTTTCTGGCTCTCCCACTCTGAAGCTGTTCTGTTTTGGCTGTAGCTCTTCAGTAGGGTTTTTTTTGTGTGTGTGTGTGTGGAGAGCTCGAGAAAGGCCTCTACTAAGCACAAGCATTCTTTTCCACTCAGGCTATCCAGACACCTAGTAGTGAAGCACAGCCTGAGGCTTGCAGAGTTTTGTTTTTTTAAACTGAAATGATGAATTCTAGGCTGCAATAGATGGTATGTAGCTGGGCAGAGCTGAGGAACTCACTGATGAGAAAGGGAGAACACAGCAGCATCCTGCTGTCGCCTAAGGAGATCAACCTGCGTGTGAACTGCTGTGTGGACGCTGACGATCGGCCCCAGCTCACAGGCAAGCTGCCCTCTGCCAAACGTGTGCCTGCTAAGTTAACATTTTCTCCAGCCCTTTGCTGGCTCACCGGCTCCCTGCACAGTAAGACTCCAAGGGAATTATCTATTTATTTCCTCCTCAGTAGCAATAATGAGAGGATCCGCCACACTTCGTGATTCAGAAAATGTATTTATTTATACCCCCCTTTTTAATGTGTGAGTAGGATATGTGCATCCTTCTTTTGGAAGCTGCTTTGTTGAGGAGAGGAATTGAAGAACATAAACAGTGGCAAAATCACTTAGGCTAGTGTTTCTCAGAGGGCCCTAGGATGGGCCGATGAGAATCATCTACGATGCATGTTAAAAATCCACTCTTTGAGGTCTCACACCAAGCCTCCTGAACCCAACCTGCAGGTGCCCGGTTTGGGAGCTGGCATTTTCATGAAGCTTCCCAGCCTATTCTTACACTGAGCCTGACAACCTCTGACTTACGTACACCTGCACAAATAAGTCTGCTTATTATCCTCTCTCCTGCCTCCCATTTTGTTCCCCTAAAGCATCTCTCTCTCTTTCCTGTTTACCTCCACCCGAGCAAAGGAAAATATTTAGTCCTACACAGTAGGAACTCAGATGCACGCTATTTGCTAAAAGCTAGCCCACTAAGGCAATTATTCGTAGATTGCCTTGAGAATCTCAAATCCAAGAGTGAGCAGTCAAGAAGCTAAAAGGAGGGAAGAGATGTGGAAGACAGCTCCCTGAATTCCTCTCCTGCCTGTGAATTACTCTACAAATAAAGCTCACAGGTTGGTAGTTGATTAATCAATCTCTAAGAATGTTAATAACGAAGGCTCAAGAAAAGTTGTTGACAGCCTTTTGAAAGGTACTTACATAATCACCATCCTGAGGGATAAGTATATTCATTTCAGATGACTTAGCGCTCACAATCGCACAGTCTAATGCATCTTCACTGAGGTATATGTGGCATCCTTCTGTCTTATTAATGGAAATTGTTGGCACTCTCCCCATTACCTAAAATAGAAAAAAAAAATCTGGGACCAAAGCACAGGAAGAGAAATCACAGTACCCCCAAATGAGCACGATCTAGGTTCCTCTTGGCATTAGCTCAGGCTTAACCAAGCCTAAGGATTCACTGGGTCAGAGCTGGGGAGGCTGGTTAATGGCAAAAGTCTCCAGGCTGAACAGGAGAGGCGTCATCTGGGGACAGAGTGAAAGGACCACACAGGGCATTCTCAAACCTCAGGGTCTCTTTCCTGAGACAAAACTTAAAGGATTAATTTGGAAACCGCTAGATGTTCAGAAAAAGCCTCACAACCTTGCCAGTGGATTTGAAACATATATTTGATTTCATGATAAACGAAACAAGATGTATTTGCTTTCATCTGCTCAAAATTTAAGTTCTGACAAATCTCTACAAAACTTGGATTAAAACAAATACTAATATTGGCATTTACGAGTAAAATGATTCTTGAGTAACAACCGAGTAGATTTTTCCTGAACTTAACTAAGAAGTAAGAAACACTACTACTCTTTTTCTCAAAAGTTCTTTGCTGGATAAAAATCTTACTGGTTGAATTTGAGGCTTAAATGAGATGCCTGTCCAGGTATTTTGAAATGTATTCATTTCAGGAGCCAAAACTGGGGGCTTGGCTCAGGACACTCATTATATAAACAGGACCACATACAAGAGGAGGCAATTCTTATGTATTGTTCATAAATATCTAAGTGCTATAAAAATTCTGATCCGTTTTAAATTTCTCTTCTAGTAATTAGTTCTCAGACATCCTCCTCCCCGCAAGATCTCCATAAGGGCAGACTGTTCCCCCCAAGACCACATTAGAACTCTATAATTTCCCTTCTTGTAATGGTAATTAAAGTGATAAGGACATCTCTTTTTTCACCCTGAAGAAAAGGCTGGATTGCAAACCAAAGGAACAACTCCTGTTGATGGTGCAAGTGGTGTAAAGAATTCCTTGGGGTGAGTCTAGCCAGGTCCCCATGCTTCTCTGTTTTCTCCCCTCTCTCCATAGAAACTGGACACTGAGCTGGAATTGAGCCTCAATTAAAAAAAAAAAAAAGGCAGAGGTAGTTCAAGGTCAGGTAAGCACAGAGCTCTGTCATAAATAGAATAACACTGTACATATGTCTATATTTCAAGAATGTGTCAGCGGTAACCTTTTAGTAATTTCTTCTTCTTTTTTTTTTTTTCCTAGAGACAGAGTCTTACTTTATCACCCTCAGTAGAGTGCGGTGGCGTCACACAGCTCACAGCAATCTCCAACTCCTGGGCCCAGGCGATTCTCTTGCCTCAGCCTCGCGAGTAGCTGGGACTACAGGCACCCACCACAATGCCGGCTATTTTTTGTTGCAGTTTGGCTGGGGCCGGGTTTGAACCCACCACCCTTGGTATATGGGGCTGGCACCCTACCCACCGAGCTACAGGTGCTGCCCTCTATTTTTTTTTTTTTTTATTTAAAGGCTAGATGAGGGGATGTTTTGATAATTTTTAGATTTTTTTTTTTTTTTAATAATGATGAGGAGCATTTATATGCTGACCAGAACTGCAGAAAGCCAACCTAGTGAAGGAGAGGGGTAAATTGTTAGTGAGTCTTAGGGAATTTGTCAAGGAGACAGAGTGAGAGCATAGGAGGCAAGCACATTCTACTGGTATGTCTTGTTCATAGTTACGTATTGTTACATTAGGTTAAAAATGCTGAAGTAGCCTATGTATCTGAAAAGGCAATACAGGTTGAATATCCCTTAGCTGAAACGTTTGGGACCAGAAGTGTTCAGGATTTAGGACTGTTTTTAAATGTTGGCGTATTTACACACACACGATGAGAGATCTTGGGGATGGTATCCATGTCTAAACATGACATTCACTTACGTGTCCTATATATTTCATGCACACAGCCTGAACGTAATTTTACACGACATTTGAAACAATTTTGTGCATGAAACAAAGTTTGTGTACATGACGTCAGGTGTGGAATTTTTCCCTTGGGGTGTCATACTGGTGCTCAAAAAGTTTTAGATTTGGGAGTATTTGGGGTTTTTGGATTAGGGATGCTCTGTGCGTGTAGCAGAATTATTTTAAGAATAACTCTTACGTGTTAAGCATTTTGGTCAGTACCACGTTAGAGTACATAATAAACACGCCTTGCTTGGTAGTCTCTGATCACCTTGAGAACAGAAATTGTTTCTTATCAGGAGAGCTGGGCCAAAGAATAGCTCATCCGATGAATGGCAGGTGACATGTGGCCGTGCTCAGGCCAATACTCTTGCATTTAAGACATCTTTCTGTATTAATATTGTTTTTCTTGAATTTATTTCTCCATGAAATTTGAAAACTTTCTATCATCTATATTAGTCTCTTCTCTCCCCCATAATTTATACTATCTATTTTCCTAGGATAGTTTTCCAAAAATAGGATTACTAGGTCAAATGAGTAGGCCCCTTTTTTCCCTTTTCAATCTTTTAATAGCGTTAGTGAGGTAAAATCTGCAAACATAAAAGTTACCCATTTTAAGTGGACAATCCAATGATACTGGATAAATTTACAGAATTATGCTATCATTACTGCAACCCAGTTTTAGAACATTTCCATCAGCTCAAAAATATCCTTAATGCCCATTTATAGTCAGTCCCCGCTCCCCACCCCCAGGCATCCACTAATGTACTTTCTGTTCTGTTGTGTCCAGGCTGGCTAGCTTGCTTATTTATTTATTTATTTGATGAAGTCTTCCCGTTGTTGATCCTCATTGCAGTGGCAGCCTCTAATTCCTGTGTTCAAGCGATCTCACTGTTTTAGCCTCCCAAATAGCTAGGACTTACAGGCATGTGCCACAAGGCTCAACTAACTTTAAATTTTTTTGTAGAAACAAGGTCTCACTCTGTTACCTAGGCTGGTCTCGAGCTCCTGGGCTCAAGCAATCCTCCTGCTTTGGCCTTCTAAAGAGCAAGGATTATAGGCTGAGCCACTGAACCCAGCCAGGTCCTTTTAAAACAATTTATTAAGTGTTTTACCTAGGCAATGATATTCACTTGGTTTGAACATCCAAAAGTTCGAAAAGCATTCAGTAAAGTATCTCTTGTCTCTAAACCATACTGCCAAGTTTCTATCCTTCCTGCCCAGGTAACCATGGTTTATCCTAACAGAGAACATTTTTTATAATGCATGTCTATATTCTTAAAAATTTATATATTTTAAATATAGAAACATATACAAAATAATATAACAAAAACATAAATACATCTATGTCCACCACCAGCTTTAACGGAGTATTGCATTTTGCCTTCTTTGCATTTTTTTTTTTTCCCAATTTTTGGCCAGAGCAGGGTTTGAACCTGCCACCTCTGGCATATGGGGCCGGCGCCTTACTCCTTTGAGCTACAGGTGCCGCCCCTTTGCATTTTTTTTAAGGCCTAAAATCTGACAGTATAGTGAAACTCCATCAATACCATCTACCAGCTCCTTCACTCAGTCACCTCCTGGCTTCACTGCCTGGATATAACTACTCCTCTGAATTTTGTGTTTATCATTCACTGGGACTGCCCATCACATGAGGTGCCTGGAGGCCACCTTGAACTCTCATAAGCATATTAAATCTTTACATTATACAGTCCCTGCCATTCTATAACTTGCCTTTATTGCTTAATGTTGTTTTGAGATTAAACTATTTTTATACATGTAACTGTAGTTCATTCATTTTAGCTAAAGTACAGTATTCTACAATAAACATTTTTACATGTCTCCTTGGCACATGTACTCACACTTTTTTTTTTTTTTTTGAGACAGAGCTCAAGCTGTCGCCCTGGGTAGAGTGCTGTGGCATCACAGCTCACAGCCACCTCCAACTCCTGGGCTCAAGCGATTCTCCTGCCTCAGCCTCCCAAGTAGCTGGGACTACAGGCGCCCACCACAACACCTGGCTATTTTTTGGTTGCAGCTGTCATTGTTGTTTGGTGGGCCCGGGGCTAGATTCGAACCTGCCAGCTCAGGTGTATGTGGTTGGCGCCTTAGCCGCTTGAGCCACAGGAGCCGGCCTGTATTTGCACTTCTTTAGCGTATGTACCTAAGAGTAGAATTACTCAGTCATAGGCTATGGATGTGATTTTATTAGACGGTGCCAATATCCTCTGCAGTGACCGTAACTGATTTCCTCTCCCAACACTGATGTATCAGAGTTCCTATTATTCCACGTCCTCAGTAATTCTGCAGCATCAGCCTTTAATATGCAGGTAGTCTTCAAATTGCAGTTCCCATATGCATAAAATTCAGTACTTGCAAAGGAAAGACAGTCTGAATGCAAAGTGGATGAGTGTGAAAAGATACATCTAACTGTGGAAAAAAAAGAGATGCATCTAACTGTGGTATTAATTCACATATCTACTTCTACCAGTTAGGCAGGTTATGCATATTTTCCTATATACTTATCAAACACTTCAGTTTTTCTTCTCTAAATTGCCTTACTATTCTTCACCCATTTTTGTATTAGATTGTTAATCTTTTTCTTATTAATTTGTGTTACATTCTTCATATATTCTGGATACAAATCCTTTTTGCTCACCTGCACTGCAAGTGTCTTTCTTCAATCCATGGCTTATCTTTTAATTTTGTATCTGATATTTTCTTTTAAACACATGATTTTAATTTTAATGAGGTTAGATTGACCAGTTCTTTTCTTTATAGTTTGTGTCTTTTTTTTTTTTTTTGAGACAGAGTCTTACTTTATCGCCTGGGGTAGAGTGCCGTAGCATCATAGCTCACAGCAACCTCCAACTCATTGGCTTAGGCAATTCTCTTGCCTCAGCATCCCCCTGAGTAGCTGGGACTACAGGTGCCCACCACAATGCTCGGCTATTTTTTGTTACAGTTAGGTCAGGACTGGGTTCGAACCTGCCACCCTTGGTATATGGGGCTGGTGCCCTACCCACTGAGCCACAGGCGGCACCCTATAATTTGTGCTTTTGATTCTAATTTCTTTCCTACTGAGGCCATAAAGTTTTTCTTCTATATGTTATTCTCCAAGTTGAAAAGTATTTCTTTTTATAATTAGGACTTAACTTTCAGGCATAATGTGAAGTAGGAATTTTTTTTCCTTGGGGATAGTCAAGGAACTGTCCTAAGATACATTTTCACATAAGTATCCATCTATTTCAGGGCTTGCTAGTCTGTTTCATTAGTCTATTTCTGTATACCTACAACAGTAGAACCTTTTACAGTGACTCAATATAAGGTATTTATGTCTCGTCATCTGGTTCATCTTTTCAAATTGTTTCAGCAAGCCATTCTTCATTAGAAATCCTTTTGAGATTTTGAGCTGAATTTCACGTAACATTTCATTAAATAAATGGAACAGTTGATAGTGACATCTTTCTGTCCATTTATTTACATCTCTTTTGAGTTCTTTATGAATATCTCCCACTTCTGTTGTTTAGTTTTTTCCCCTAGGTACATTACAGTTTTGTCGCTATTTTAATCTTATTTTCTATTACATTTTCTCAAACCTATTGGTGGTGTAAAGAAATGTAATCCAAACATCCTGCTGCATGTTTCTTTAGCTTTATAGTTTGTTGAATCTCTTGGATTTTATACAAAGGCAATCTTTTTGTTGGCAAATAAAGAGATTTTTGTCTCTTCCTTTTTCACCTTAATAGCTCTCAATTATTTCTCAATTATTTTTCCTATCTTATCACACAGGTTAAAAGCTTTAATGCATTATTGAACAGAAGCAATGATGGAAGGAATTCTCTTGTTTCTAATGTTGATGGTAACTCTTCTAAAGTTTCAAGTAAAGTATGACTTTTGCTGTAGGATTTTGATAGATGCCCTTAACTTAGTTATAAAACGTAGTATATTTTCTCTAATTATTTTCTAAGATTATCTGCTATAGATATACCTATGGTCTAGATATGATATATCTATGTATTTGTGTGTGCATTTAGAAAAATGAAATCATGCTTTATGTAATACTGTAGTATAAAACTGTTCTTTCCTTTTTTTTTTTTTTAAAGGGGGGGGTCACATTATGTTCCCTACACTAGTCTCAAACTCCCAGGCTCAAGTAGTTATTAGTTTACTGTTATTTCTAGTCTTGTTTTTAATTAAAAAAATTAATGTGAAGTGGGAGAAAGCCTGGACCTTTACATAGGAACTCCCACCATCCAAAATAGCCCTTGAGAAAGTATGGATTCATTATTAGGTTTCTAGGAGTCACACCCATCCTTGAAGAACTGGGCTTGATGAGTGGTTTCCTTAACATTTCCATGCATGATACTTTGGGAATGTAAACTGATGAATGTGATGATCAGAAATATTGCATTGTGCAATAACATTGTCAGAATATAAGCTTCATGTGGGCAAGGATTTTTGTCTCATTTGCTTAGTGCTATTTTTAGTATGAAGAATAGCTTCTGGCATGTCAGGTATGTTCAACAAATATATGAACGGCCAGGTGCGATGGCTCACGCCTGGAATCCTAGCACTTTGGGAGGCTGAGGCAGGTGGACAGCCTGAGCCAGAGTGAGACCCCATCTCTAAAAATAGCTGAGTATCCTGGCAGGTGCTTGCAGTCCCAGCTACTCGGGAGGCTGAGGCAAGAGAATCGCTTAAGCCCAAGAGTTTGAGGTTGCTGTGAGCTGTGACACCACAGGACTCTACCAAGAGTGACAAAGTGAGACTCTGTCTCAAAAAAAAAAAAAAACCAACCCCAAATGTATGAACAAATAAATGAGCATGTGTTACATGCTTAGTGGACTTAGGCAAATAACTCACATATTAGAATCTAAAGTGTGCCCTGAAGATGGTCAAGTTTCTCCATTTACAGAATGAATAATAAAGTATATGTCTGTGGGAATTCCTTGGTTGTTTTCTTTTAAAAGTTCTTCTATCGGCTCGGCGCCTATAGTTCAACCGGCTAAGGCGCCAGCCACGTACACCTAAGGTGGTGGGTTCGAATCCCCAGCCCGGACCCGCCAAACAACAATGACGGCTGCAACCAAAAGATGGCCGGGCGTTGTGGCGGGCGCCTGTGGTCCCAGCTACTTGGGAGGCGGAGGCAGGAGACTCGCTTGAGCCCAGGAGTTGGAGGTTGCTGTGAGCTGTAATGCCACGGCACTCTATCCAGGGGGACAGTTTGAGGCTCTCTAAAAAAAAAAAAAAAAAAAAGTTCTTCTATCAAGGAGTGGAATTTATGAAAAGGTGGAGGCAGAAAGGCCAAGGAGAAGGGGATCCATATAGAAGCATAAATATAGAGGGTGCCAACAAATGTATAAACATTTTAAGAAAGGAATAAACTGTATTAAAAAAATTTTTTTTGAGACAGTCTCACTCTGTACCTTGAATAGAATGCCATGGTGTCATAGCTCACAGCAACCTCAAACTCTTTGGCTCAAGTGATCCTCTTGCCTCAGCCTCCCAAGTAGCTGGGACTATAGGCGCCCACCACAGCGCCTGGCTAGTTTTTCTATTGTAATACTCAAGTCGGGTTTGAATTCTGCCATTATAAGAGATAAAAGATACAATATACAAGATAACAAATGTTGTCAAAGTATATTGAGTAGTACAATTTTAATAGTTTATTCCTTTCTTAAAATGTGTATACCTTCTTTTTGTACCCTCTATATATGAAACTAAAATTGAATATTCATGTGTAAGAAACAAATGTATCCATAGAGATTCTGTGGCAAGAGAGCTTAGAATTTGGAATGGAGAGGACCTTAGAACCATCCAGCTAACCTGTGTTTAATGAATTGCCCAAATGCACACAAAGGTGAAGGCTGGGGCTGAGTCCACTGTCCAGGCCTCATGATGCCCCGTGAGGACTATTTCCATTAAACAGACCAAATAAACCAACTTCTTAAATGACAGCAAAACATTAAATGTATAATCAAATGTACTCTTGATTAAAAGTGTCAATCACGAAAAGCCCAGTAAAGCAAAAGAGAAAAAGCTATAAAACCAGACTCCAATTTTAACATGCATTATTTAAAAATATTAGGTAGTAAAGGCTAGTTAATAATATGAAAAGCATGTAATCAAAGATAGAAGTAATAGCTGCCAAAGGTAACTTAGTGTATTGTAAAATCCCATTTGGCTAAATCGAAATTACTTAGGGAATATAGACTTTCGTATGTTTTCCAAATTCAATTCCAATCCTACTTCCCAGTTGTTGTTTTTTTCCTTTATTCTTTCACTGATGATTTTTTAGACAAACTTTTCTTCTTCTTTATCCAGGACCAATTTTTCCTGGGGGAGGGGGAGGGCCCCTTTGGGATGGTGCTGTTATGCTAGGAGAATCTTTTAGTAGTTTCTTTCACTCATGTATTAATTGATTCATCCCAATCACGCACTCATCAAACACTTATTGGACACTAAGTATGTGTGGGTGCCATGCAAGTTTCTGAGGCTGTAAGATTAGTTAGCTGTACTTGAAATAGAGATGGTAAACCAGTAAGTCATCCAAGCACAAATGGGGTGTATTATAGGAGACTGAAAAGGAGGAAGTAATACTGTCTAAGAAATAAGATAGGGCCCCACAGAGGAGGGATAACACAGATGTATCTAGAGGGAACGAGAATAGGAACTTTTTAGGGTGTTTTTTGGGTGAACATAGAGAATCAAGGGCCCCTCTTGGCCAGCAGAATGGGTGGTCTGTGAGAAGCCATGGCCAGGTCAGAGGATGGCTGAAAGGGCCACCTACCTGGATTTGAATGTCCCTGGAGTTGATCACTTCTACAATGCCTACCACATTGTCAAACACCAGGCCAAACTTCTTACAGTTATCTAAAAACAAACAAACAAGAAAACCAAACTCCACTAAATACACATATCATGTTTACACCAAACAATTCATCGTATCAATTGCAGAGCCATAGTTCTGCCCTACCAATGGTAATGGAGTTTACTTTCCCTTTTATCTGGAGAGTTGATTTGTCGCATTTGAAAATGTAAGCCACTTGTTTCAGCTCAGTTTCTGAAATCACAAGGTCATTCCTGTCCTCTTGGTACTCCTAAAATTAAATTGGATACAAATGTTAAGTATAAGGATATATAAACTGAATCTCCTGCACACTGAAATGCTATGGGGTTCAGCATGAATTACAGATTTGCAATATGTTCTTTCCTTTAGAACCATCTCCTTATGCATGAAAACACAGGTTTCACCTTGTCATTTTGTAATGAGGGTCACAGATGGGACCGCTGCTTGGAAGTGAGCCAGTGTCCCTTTGTAGACATCAGGTATCAGCCACCCTGGCTAGTAGGTGGGGGCTGGAGCAAGGGTGTGAGAGCTTTGTGGTGAGACATTGATGCTAAGTCTTGACTTGATGCTGTAGCAAAATCTGCTGTCAAATAGGAGTTGGGCAAACAGGATGGTTAAGGGTCACAACAATGGTGTAAGCCCCAGTGGGTCTGGAGGCCATGACAGCCTTTCCAGGGACGTTGGTCCTTAATCCTTAGGGAAGCCCTCTGGATTGGCAGGGGACCCCAGTTTTCACTCTCATTCTTAGTGTCTACATCCTGCTTACACATTTAGCCCTGGCGGTGGCAGGTGGCAGCAGTAAGGTGCAGTTACATCAGTGACTCCATCTGTGGGACTGGACAAAACATCCCGCAGTAGGTGAAGATGGGGCACAGACTCCATTCACACGAGAATGGTTTCTCTTGGTGCCTGGTTCAGAGCTTACGAAAAGAGTTGTCAAATAAATAAGAGACAGAAGGCAGGTTGGCGATTTCTGGAGGCTGGAGGGGGAAGGAACATTGTTTAATGGTGTGGGGTTTTGGTTCTACAGATGAAAGGAGTTCTGTGGATGGGAGGCGGTAGTGGCTGCAGAACAATGTGGAATGGACCTAATGCCACCGAACTGTGCACTGAAACGTGGTTAACGGTTACGTATTTT